TGTTCTGTTCCATTGGTCTATATCTCTGTTTTGGTACCAGTACCATGCTGTTTTGGTTACTGTAGCCTTGTAGTATAGTTTGAAGTCAGGTAGTGTGATGCCTCCAGCTTTAAAACCAGGAAACTTCTGTGCTGTTACTAAGAGTCACATATTTCCCTGCTCAGGTTACTAGTAAATTCTTTGTTAGCGTTGTTCTTCAGTGGGTTCTCCCCAGTAACTTTGGGTTGATATCCTCCCAGCTTCTATCCTTGAAGCAGAACATTTGTGCTTAGATTTCAGCAAAAATGCCTCAGTAGAGTTTCATTGAGCTACTTAGGTCACATGCCATCCATCAGCCAAGCTTTGGTCCTAGAGCTGTTGTGTTTGAATTGGTCCTACATAGTTCATGTGACTGCCCGTAGAGCTCAATATGGGCAGCCTGTTGTCCACACAGTAGCTAGACAGATCACTTTGATTAGGCAAACCTTGTTCCCCTTATAACGCTTTTCTCATCCTATCTCACTTTGATTTCTCATCTCGTTTAGAATAAAAGCCAAAATGTAACCATTGGCTCCAAGGCCACTGTTACTTGTCAGATCTCATCTCAATTCAGTCTCCTTCTCACTGACTGTACTCCATTCACCCTGGCTTCCTGGATGTTTCTTGAACACTCAAGACAGGTTCCAGCTAAGGACCCTGGCACTTTCTCTTCCACTGCATGGAACAATCCTCCTCACACATATCTACAGAACTTATTCTCTAGCATCCTTAAAGTCTTAGTGAGCCTTTCCTTAACCACCTTATTTGAAATCAGTGCTCTCCCTGTGCACCCACTAACCCCTTTTTTTGTTTTCACCAGGCACTTACCACAATCTAACAGACTGCATGTTTTATTGATTTATTCAGTTTATTATTTGTGTCACCTCAACTCCCACTAAAATATAAGATTTTTGAGGGCAAGCAAGCACTAGATCAATAGGAAACATATCAAGAGTATTCTGTAAACTGTTTCTTGCGTGAATCAGTGAATGAATGAGTTAATCAATACAATTTTTTGAGTGAGGAGCTTCGTGTTAGGCACAGCTAAATGGGAAATCAAGTGGGTCATGTACCATGAATACCATATCCTCTACTGTATAATTCTCCTGCTTATATCAAAAACTGTTTATAAGCTTATTATAATTGATACCAATTGGAATCTCTTTTTTACTCATCACCAAGAAAACCACAAACAAGTTGTTTACCATTTGGCTCCTCATTTAATCTGGATTTCCAACTCCTCATGCTTGAAAGACGGAAGATACAATAACACTTTCCTTACAGGGTACTGAGACTATTAAGTGAACTTATGCATGTAAAAGGAATTCATGCAACAAAAATACTAACAAAAGAATTATTATGACACATACTTATAACCATTGTGTTTTTATGTATTTAAAATGCATTATACCTATAATTAGCCACTCAAGGAAATCCAAGTGCTAAAATAGTGATATGTTCTTATGTTTTGTTTTTCTTGCTTAGGGGATCATGGACATTGAAGCATATTTTGAAAGAATTGGCTATAAGAACTCTAGGAACAAGCTGGACTTGGAAACATTAACTGACATTCTTGAGCACCAGATCCGAGCTGTTCCCTTTGAGAACCTTAACATGCATTGTGGGGAAGCTATGGAGTTGAGCTTAGAGACTATTTTTGATCACATTGTAAGAAGAAACCGGGGTGGGTGGTGTCTCCAGGTCAATCAACTTCTGTACTGGGCTCTGACCACAATCGGTTTTCAGACCACAATGTTAGGAGGGTATGTTTACATCCCTGCAGCTAACAAATACAGCACTGGCATGATTCACCTTCTCCTGCAGGTAACCATTGATGGCAGGAACTACATTGCTGATGCTGGGTTTGGAAGCTCCTCCCAGATGTGGCAGCCTCTGGAATTAATTTCTGGGAAGGATCAGCCTCAGATGCCTTCCATTTTCCGCTTGACAGAAGAGAAAGGAATCTGGTACCTGGACCAAATCAGAAGAGAGCAGTATATTCCAAACGCAGAATTTCTTAATTCTGATCTCCTGCCAAAGACGACATACCAAAAAATGTACTCTTTTACGCTTGAACCTCGAAAAATTGAAGATTTTGAGTCTATGAATACCTACCTGCAAACGTCTCCAACATCTGCATTTACAACCACATCATTTTGTTCCTTGCAGACCCCAGAAGGGGTTCGCTGTTTGGTGGGCTTCACCCTCACCTATAGAATATTCAATTATAAAGACAATACAGATCTGATCGAGTTTAAAACTCTGATTGAGGAAGACGTTGAAGAAGTGCTGAAAAATATATTTAAGATTTCCTTGGGGAGAAAGCTCGTGCCCAAACCTGGTAATGGATCCTTCACTATTTAGAATAAGGAACAAAATAAACCCTTGTATATGTATCACCCAACTCACTAATTATCAACTAATGTACAATCACATATCCTCTCTACCCTCACATTATTTTGAAGAAAATCCTAGACATCAAATAGTTTCATCCATAAAATACCAGCATTTATTGAAAAACAATAACCTTTTAAAGAAACATAAGGACACATTTTCAAACTGATAAAAATAAAGGCATTTTAAGGATGGCATGTGATTATCTTGGGAAGCAGAGTGATTCATGTTAGAAAACATTTAATATTGATTTATTGTTGAATTCGTAGTAAATTTTTACTGGTAAATGAATAAAGAATATTGTGGAAAAACTCATCGTCTCTAAAGTATATGAAAACATTGTTGGCTAATATATTGAGAATCAAAGTTTTTCTTTAGACAACTTAGGATATTATGGGGCTAGGCATGTTTTCCTCAATAGAGTCTTCCTCTTATCCTCTTTCTTGTCTCCTAGTTACATTCTTTTACTTCCATCCATACTTTGCCACAAGAGAGGGAACACAAGCTTTATTGTATACATCTGATTTGAAATCCTGTGGACACAGGGTGAATTACTTTTAAAATCTGTGGCTCTGATTCCTCAAAGATAAAATGCAAATAATATTTATATAATTCACTGACAGATATACATTTTCAAAACTATTTGTTATATGGATGAATAACATCATTAATATTTTGGTTACTGGGCCAGCATTTACTGAAAGTTCTCCTTCCATCTTGCTTTATTTTCCTGTAACTTGAAATTCTGGTCCTACTGTCATCTGCCTGCTTCTTCCTTGATTAAATATTGATAGAATGTCAGATGTCCCAGATCTGAGAGTGTGCCTTGTGATTCAAAATCTGAATCTTTACTTATCCATAACTCAGAATTTCTGTTTGTAAATTCCAGTATCAGGGCTATAAACTGCAGATTCGTTCTTAACACTATTCTCCCTCTTTGACTTGTGATGACTATAATAATCTTAAGAGAAAAGCAGACATTCGAATGGATAAATATTCATTAAGAGAATAAATTACATTGAAGCATCAGTATTTTACGCAGCAGTGTAATAGCTGGGAGATCCTGGTGAGTGTAGATATCCTCGGAAGAGGTGGATATGAGATCTGGTCCCAGTGGGAAGGACAAATGAAAGACATATATCAATATTTGAAAGCTTGTCATCTTTCTTACCAATTGGGCTTGTTCAGCTCTGCTGCTATCTTGTTGCAATGCCAGGTCACCACTGGTGCTCCTAGGCAGACGCAATTTTCTCACATTCTGACCAAGATCACCTCACTGGAGGATGTGGTGGCAAAAAACAAAAACGAAAACAAAACAAACAAAAAAACAGATAAAAATGTGGCTCAAGTATGATGATACAGTTGTGTACAAATGAGTCAAGTAAATTATATTGCACAATGAGTATCCTGAAACCCAATTCAGTTATTTTGTTCTTGATTATATATAGTACAAAATGGAAAAAGCAAAAATATGTTCAGAGAGATTCAGAAATATACAATTTTGCTTCCAGGTCGAAGACTTCTGCCCTTATTATGCAATGTTACCTTTTCTCTAATGAAATCTAAATGAGTGAAGAAGAATCTCGCCAACTGATTTGGCCAGAGATTTCAAGGTGCCTCTTAATTCTTTGTGTTTATCCAAACCTATGTCTCTGTTTTTGGTGGCCCCCTGGAGAGTAGGATGTGGCATGTCTTGTTAGAACTCTGGGAAAAGTAAGGTAGAAACCAGACCTTCTAGATGTAACTGGGAAGGTAGGATGTCGGATGTATATTCCAGTTCTTCTGTTTTCAAGGTGAAGCTGAGTGTGCGTGTTTATCTGCCACTCTCTCTGCTGCAAGGCAGGGAGATAATATGGGGTAAGTACCTATACTGGTGTTCAGGCTGCAGCCTCTGGTCCTAGGGAGATACCTATTGGAAGTAAGCCTATGGCATAGCCACCTATTTGTTTTTTGTGGCCTAGGGACATTCAGGAATGGAAAGCCCCACTGATTCCCAGAGCTGGGTCATTAAGAAGATAGTGCCTTTGGTGGGAGCTATATAAGTTGTGGCTCTTGGTGTGTGAACTAACTCCTTCAAGGAAAATGAATAGGCCTAGATTTATTACTGGGGTGAACTGGAAGAAAGGCTTAGGAAGTGCCAAGCTGTGGCTCAGATTACTGGAGGGCTACTATTTGCTCACCAATGCAAGTTTATTAGAAGCAAGCCTGTCAAATAGTCATGGAAAGAATGTGCAGGAAAATCCTTCTGGAGGGAAAATGGGAGCTGCACATTCCAGTATTTTTTCTGCACCGCACCCAGAGGATGTAGCCCCTGAAAGTACTTAGATGCCCACTGAAAACCATCTCTTTGTCAGATAATCTAGAGAGACTCACATGTGTCTTCTTCTGTTCTTTGAGCTAGAAGGGATTTAGGATTCAGTTAATCGTGGTTGCTATAAAAGTTGCAGCACCCAATGCATGGCATAAATCCTTTCTGGGAAGAAACATGGAGTTGCATTTTTAGTGCTCCTACTCCACACTCCTCCCACAGTATGAAGTCCATGAAAGTGCATGCAGGCTCATATAAAACTCCTTTTTCTGTGGCCTAGAGAGACTTGTATATGCCTAGTCCCCTCTACCTCCAGAGTGGGGAGGTTTAGGATGCAGTCCTAAGAATGGAAAGAGTGGACAAACTCTTTTCAGGTGGGATTAATAGACCTGGAGTTATCACTGGTGTTAGTTAGGGGAGAAAGCATGGGAGCCAACCTGCTTCTCAGGGTCTCCTTTCTGCCCAATGGATATTAGAAACCAGGCCACCAAGTAGCCCTGGAACAGTGTGCCATAAACCCATTCCAGGAAGTGACACACAGTTGCATTTTAAAGCCCCTTCTGTGCATTGCTCCTGGGGGATAAGGCTCCTGGAAATGCTTATGCACCTGTATAAAATCGCCTTTTTCCTGTGGTCTAGAGAGACTTGCATATGTCTAATTCCCTCCACTCTGAGAGGTAGGAGGTTGAGAATGTAGTCTCAGGTGGAAGCTGTAATAGTGGGATGCTCATCACGTGAACAAATTCTAGGAGGAATCAGTAGACACAAAATTATAGCTGACTCGAGTGGGAGAGGCAGTTGTCTCATCTAACATACAGAAACTAACACAGAAGTTCAAAGAAAATGATGAAACAGAGATATATATTCCAATTTAAAGAACAATATAGATTTTAGGAAGGGGTGCCAAGATGGCTGAATAGGAACAGCTCCAGACTCCAGCTCCCAGTGTAAGCAACGCAGAAGATGGTTGATTTCTGCATTTCCAACTGAGGTACCGGGTTCATCTCACTGGGGCGTGTCAGACAGTTGGTGCTGGAGAATGGAACCAAGTTGGAAAACACTGTGCAGGATATCATCCAGGAGAACTTCCCCAACCTAGTAAGGCAGGCCAATATTCAAATTCAGGAAGTTCAGAGAACGCCACAAAGATACTCCTCGAGAAGAGCAACTCCAAGACAAATATTTGCCAGATTCACTGAAATTGAAATGAAGGAAAAAAATGTTAAGGACAGCCAGAGAGAAAGGTCGGGTTACCCACAAAGGGAAGCCCATCAGACTAACAGCAGATCTCTCAGCAGAAACTCTACAAGCCAGAAGAGAGTGGGGGACAATATTCAACATTTTTAAAGAAAAGAATTTTCAACCGAGAATTTCATATCCAGCCAAACTAAGTTTCATAAGTGAAGGAGAAATAAAATGCTTTACAGACAATCAAATGCTCAGAGATTTTGTCACCACCAGGCCTGCCCTACAAGAGCTCCTGAAGGAAGGACTAAACATGGAAAGGAACAACCAGTACCAGCCATTGCAAAAACATGCCAAAATGTAAACACCATCGATGCTAGGAAGAAACTGCATCAATTAACAAGCAAAATAACCAGCTAACATCATAATGACAGGATCAAGTTCACAC